AGTGTACCTCGGTGTTTATAATAAATAAAATCACTACTATTCTACTTATTTTCGCCTAACACTTAACTAAGACGTAAACCGATTCAGGCTATATCAGGGCAGAGGAAGTCTTTGCCTCAGGTACAGGAGTTCAAGTACCTTGGTGCCCACAGGTGAAGATAGGATGGAGCGGGAGATGGATCGATGGTTTGGGGCCTCGTCCTCAATAATAATGTTGCTACGGTCAGTTGTGGTAAAGAAACGATTGAGTCAAAAATCTTAACTCTTGATTTAATTTTCTTTTTAAGTTATAGACTGCACCTATGGTCATGAGATTTGGCTCATGACCAAAAGAATGATAATCCTGGTTACAAGTGGCCGACATAATCTTCCTTTGTGGGGTAGCTGGGCTCAGCCTTACGGACTGGTTGAATAGCTCTGTCATTTGAGGGGAGCTCAAAGTAGAACCACTGCTTCTCTGTGTCCAAAATAGTCAGTTGAGGTGGTTCAGGCATTTGATTAGGATGCCTCCTGGATACCTCGCTTTGAAGGTTTTCCAGGTACCTACCACTACCACCAGGTACAGACCCTGGAGGGCCTGGAGGGATTATATATTCTCTCTGGCCTAGGAATGCCTTGTGGTTCCTCATGAGGAACTGGAGAGTGTCTCTGGGGAAAGGGAGGTCTAGATTTATTTCCTGAACCTGTTGCCTCCGTGACCCGACAATGGAAAAATAGTATCAGGAGATAGAAAAAAAGTCCTTGTTACCCTCTCCTCCTGTTTTCATGTGTATTGCTGTATCAAAATATTTCTGTCAGGATTACTTCAGTATCTGCTGATACTATTTCTGCTTGCAAATTTGTTTATTTGTAGTAATTGTTTTCTTTCAGCTGCTACCTTCTTCAAGGGTCGCCACAGCGAGTAAACGTGTGATTTAATTTGTTTTACGCCAGATGTTCTTCTTGACACAACCAACCACTGACCACCGAGCTACCACAGCCCAATAAACTGAATGTCTTCAAAAGATTATGATGTTAAGGTTTATAAAATAATGGTTGCATGAAGTACTAATTATTCATATAGGAGCTGTTGAGTTGAACAAGCTAAACCGCTGTTTACTGTATTTTTGCCTATAAAACGTGGTCTGTTTCTGTGACAAACGTCTATTGTATACTGTTTAGTGTCCTCAAGGTGGAAGCATGTACTACATTACAAGGCTAAAAAGGGCTTAAAATATTGAAAAATTAGCTTAGTTAAAAAATGCATGTAATGTAGGCAACTCAAGTCAGCCTCTGATCTAAATAAATTGTGTTTTTAAGGACTTTACGACACTTTATAAGCTGCAACAAACTTTAGCTAGCTAGCTAGCTAAACAAAGGATATGATTTTTTCAGTTAGCTAACAATTTATGATTTGTTATTTTTATTAAATTTTGACCAATTGGGATACAGGTTACACAATGTAAAACCTAAATAGTCTTTCTTAATATTGTATCTGTTTAAAATCACTTTAAAACAATTTAGCTAGTGAGCTAATGCTAACATGGTTAGCTAAGTCAAACCATTTAGTGGCTAACATGATAGCTTTTTAACTTAGTTCTGTAGAGTTAATTTCCTTTTTGGAGATTTTCTTAAGTCTTAAATTATAAGTGAAATGTGAAACACATACACACACACATCTGTTGGTAAATGTGTATTATAAGGACACTCTTTTCAAACAAGTTTGGTTGGTTAATTATGGGGACACCACTTTCTGCTTACTCTGG